CACTGGCATATTTTATATTCTGGTATTAAAATCGGATAAATAATCTTTTAATTATCAGTTTTTTTATTGCAGTAAATATATAAGGTTTTAGCATGTGTGCATCATATATTTGAAGAATTTGAATTTTTTCCTCCCTTCAATAAAACTTATGAATATTTAACAAGATACTTTTGAGCAAAGTATATTAATTTCATAACTGCAAAATAGTGAGCATTCACGGTGTAGTGCTCCCATTTAAAATCAAATTTAAACACTAGAAAATTAGCACTTTTAGGTAGCCCAACAATGAGTTTTTAATTATTTGCATATTCAATTCAGGAATACCTACACGCAAAGTTTCATGAAAATTGGAAGAATATTTTAAAGGTGTGTTATTTTTTCTTAGCAACAAACTCATATCTTAAACATTAAATCATGTGACATATTCTCCCCTCTGCCCTTTTTTTGTTGCAATAAGGAACTAGAATAACTAATGAAAGCTTTGTTTCAATAACTGTTTTAAAAACTTAAGAACTTAAAGGACTTATGTTCATCAATGGCCTTAAATACTTTTGAGAATGAAATCCTATTTTTCAGACAATTTTCTGTTTCCCCCCAGAAAACAAAGTATAAAAAATACGGAATGTGACTTCATATCAATAAACATCCAAATATTAGCCTATTTTCTTTGCAAAACAAGCTCAGTTTCCTGTTTTATAATTTTTTAACATGCATCTTTAATCACAGTGAATTTTTGAAAGGCTTCAGCAATTAAATTTTCTGAGTTTAAGTGGCATCATTAAAATGCAGAATTTATTCAACTAACAAATTTAAATATATTTATACTCACTTCCAAAAGTTAAGCACGGAGAGGAAAATGCTAATTTGCGGAAGCCAATTAGAATTGAAGAGGATGCAATTCGCTGCAGGGGTAGATGGAAGTATGCAAATATGTAACAGCTAATCGCGCTTTCACGTCAAGAAATATGCAAAAAAAGGCAGCCTTATACAGGGTTCATAGCCACATTTTAGTTAAAAAAATAAGCACCTATAAGCACTTTTCAAGCATATTTTAAGGAAAAAAATAAGCACCTATCTAATTACATTATACACAACTACATAACCTTAAAAATTATGTTAGGTTATTTAATTACGGCAAAGCCTTGAGGGCTATTTGCCTAAGGGGAGGGATGCCTTCATGGAGGACTTTCTAAGGAAAACTGGCTCGTATACACGTTACACGTGCGGAAAACCATGAAAACACCCATGCAGCTAGCTCGTTCGAGGGATTCGAACCTCGGACCGAACTACCAGTGTTCAGCGACTTTACCACTCAGCCGCGGGTGGGACCTTAAAAATTAGACTTGTAATTTAAAATATGAGATATGCAGTATTTATTAAAAGAGAACATTCATTACCTCAACCATGAAAAATAATTACTTTTTTTTTTTTTTTTTTTAAATTTTAAATAACAGTTAAATTTACAGAACTAGTTTACAATGAGAGGAAAAAAACTATGCAGAACTAAACTATATTACAAATATTTAATGATGAAATTTCAGTTCAAAATAGAGAAAATAAATAATAAGGCATATTTATTATATTCGCTTGGAATCTAATAATAAATAAAATTTATTTTTCCACTCATATTGATATTTAAATAATTTAAATCTAAATTCTGAACATTTTCTAAATTTTCATTGTCTATCAGTTTTCTCTTAACAGATATTACAAGCAGAGTAATTTAAGTAAAGAAAGAGGAACATTTCTGAAATCCGAAGACAGAAATTTGCTTCATGCAGTCATCCTTTAACAGTAAAAGCTTAACTCGCAAACTTGGAAATTGGCGAATATTTGGACAGTCGGGCGAAACTTGAAAAAGAGGAGTGGAGGGGGGGGGAGTAGACTGTAGCCGTTCTTTAGATTTTTCCACTAAATAAATGTTCTTGACATTTTGATATGTGCATCATATAAAAACAAACCAGCAGAACTGAAAAATATTCTGCTTAGCAAGTACAATAAAACTCTTTTAAGTGTTTATACACAAATCTCGGACTGAACATCAAAATTAATTATCTCTGCAAAATATCGTAAACGTTATTGCGCAATATGTGCGCCGTAATTCTTCCCTACGTGATATTACGCAGTCGGAATCAACAGCTGCCGGTATTGGGAGAATAAAGAACTAATAAAGGAAAAGAAAGAGACTTACAAATATGGGGTTTTTTTCATTAGACTGCGTTAAATTTCCGGAATAGAATCATTCTTCGCTTGGGTTGGTAGACTGCAGAACTTTTAGTCCTATTCAATCCAGATTGGAAAGTAACACAAAAAAAAAAAGTCAGTTTCTTGTTTTGTAGCGAACTCTAAGTTTCAATATTCGAGATTTTGCGGAAAAAGGGGAGAACCTCCCAACCTTCGTACTGTATAATGTATTGGCCAAAAAAATTACATTATTTTGACTATTTGATTATTTTCCCTTTATTTAAGCCATTCCGAAAATAATTCCTTAGAAAACTAATCTGTGTTAAAACACAACCATTTTTGGAAGCTTACTATACTTCAGCAGTTACTGCAACTATGTTATTATAAACATTCATACATATGCTCATGATATAAGCATAACGATCATAATAAACACGAATATGAACTGACCAAGTGGAACGAGAATACAAATTATTAAGATCTTGATAGAAATTCAAATGTGTGTAGTATTTGGGTGGGAGGAAAAGAATGCCAAATGTACCGGAATTTTCTACCGCTTTCACAATTCTTTGCCCAATAGAACGACGGGCACCTGTCTGTACTCTCCACGCACACCAAAGCTTATGTTAATGCAGAGAAAGGGGGGAAAAGCTATTTCTGGAAGTATGACTCACCATCTGACATTCCATATTAGGAAGAAAAGTTGTTTATTTAGTTTCAGCTTTGGTACAGGGGAAAATTGCGCGTTCAAAAAAAAAAAAAAAAAGAGCACTAAAAACTAAAACATAAGGGCTTTAAAGAAAAAATAAGCACCTATAAGGGCCTTTATATTTTATTTTCAAATATAAGGACTTATAAGCACTTATAAGGACCGCTACGAACCCTGCTTATAAGAAGCCAGCTTTATGAAGGGTTACAGAAGTTGATTGATTGTAAGTGCTGAGAGAAGGTGTTTAAAACTTTCAAACAATTTGCTTTCAAGACATATGTGTTTATGACTTCCAGAAGACTAATGTAAGATTCTGAGCGCTGGCGTGTTGTGGGGCGCATTCAAGCAGGACAGTCGATCACAGATGCTTCAGCGTTCATCATTCTGTAATTTCACGTTTATGGAAACAATTCCAAACCACACAGACAGTTGTCCGAAGGCCCGTAGCCCAAGAGTTACAACCCCCTGGAAGATTAATATATTGCTATTGTAACCAAGCGGAATTGCAGAGCGACCTCCACACGTGTGACATAGATGGTTACAGCATCCACTGGTAAGGCGATATCTGCAGCTACTCTATGGCGAAGATTACATACGAGTGGACTGTATGCCCAGGTAAATCGAGTTTGTGTTCCTCTATACGTCCAATCAAGAGGAGCACGATTACGGTTGTGTCGGGAACATGTCAATTGGAATGTGTCTGACTGGGGCAATATCATGTTTACTGACGAGTCAAGATTTGCTCTGGAGCCAGATGACAAGCATATAAGGATATGACGTGAACAACGAACATGCAATCAGTCTCAAAACATCATGCATCACTGTTCTTTTCTTCGGCATTTATAATTCTGCAATTTCACGTTTATGGAAACAATTCCAAACCACACAGACAGTTGTTTAAAGGCCCGTAGCCGGTCGCCCAAGAGTTACAACCCCTGTGGAAGATCGATATATTTCTATTGTAGCCAAGCGGAATTACAGAGCAACCTCCACACGTGACATCTATGGTTACAGCATTTATTGGCAAGGCGATATGTGCAGCTACTGTACGTCGAAGATTACATATGAGTGGACTGTATGCCCGGGTACCTCAAGTTCGTGTTCCTCTATCTGTCCAATCAAGAGGGGCACGATTACAGTGGTGCCGGGAACATGTCAAATGGAATGACTGGGGCAATGTCATGTTTATTGACGAGTCAAGATTTGCTCTGGAGCCAGATGACAAGTGTATAAGGATATGGCGTGAACAACGAACACACAATCAGTCCCAAAAACATCACGCATTCTAAGGCGGAAGCATTACGGTGTGGGCAGAGATTTCATTAGGATTCCGCACCGACCTGAACATCTTTAAACAGGGTTCTTTGACGGCTGTCCGATATCAAGATGAAGTCGTAGAAGCCATTGTGAGATTGTACACTGCAGCAGTTGCCCCTACTTTTGTTTTAATGGACGATAACATGCGTCCCCATAGAGCTGACATCGTCAATGACTACCTGGAAAATGAAGGGACTGCGCGTATGTCGTAGCCAGCATATTCGCCCAACCTTAATCCATTGAAAATCTTGGAGATGCTCTTGGCTGTGCTGTATCTTCACGTTTTCCACCTCCTGCCACTCTTATTGAGCTGGAAACTGCACTACAAGAAGAATGGCGATTGCTTAATTCTGCGGTGGTTGACCACCTTAATTGAAAGCATGGTCACAAGGTGTAAACTTTGTATGCAGATGAGGGAGGATCACATACCCTATTAATGTCCTTTTTTCCCCCCCCATTTTATGCTATTTATTTTCACTTTCTAAATAATTCTGTTTAAGTCTCCAGTATGTCATTATCTGATAACTTGCAAAAATTTAATATTGTTTTCATTTCTGTATATAATTATTGATTTTGTTTTATGCATAAATATATATATTATTTTCCTGCCGAATTTTGTGTCAATCAAAGCAGTATTTGTTGATTTTTTTGCAGTTTACATCTTCATGCTTTACTTTTGGAAGTGAGTGTATATTATTTATTTCACCAATACATTAATTACCATAATAATGAAATGCAACCTTACAAAATTTTAACAAAAATGAATTTTTTTAAATTAAAAGTCTCATACCTATTGTATCAGATTTACTAAACTTTCTTGTTACAATATGATCCAGATCACTGTTTGAACAAAGTTTGAATTCAAGTAAATAGACTTCTACCTGTAATTAGGAAAGTAGAACACTTTTAAATTATATTCGATACAAGATAACAAAATAATAATTTTAAAAAAATCTTTGGCACTACAGCACTATACATCCAACCACAACAAGAATCAAAGAACAAAGCACTATTTCACCAAGTAAATCCAAAATTTTATGAAAACATATTTTATCTGCCAACCCACTAATTGTTGCATGTGCACTACACCAGCATCAAGGAATTTATAATGGAATAATAAAGTCTTTGCCACAGTGTGTTTTTGGAATTAAAGTGTTATGTTTGCGGTTTCTGCTTGTGGTTAGTTTGTGGAATTTATTTTTCTTGTAATGAATCATAATGAAAGTAGAGTTTGCTTGCTAGAAAGTACTGCATTTTTTAAAGAAATATGGCTTTTACTGGTGCCGTTATCAAGACCAAATTCAGAAAAGTGTGTAATTTATACACTTGTGTATACATGTAAGTATAGTGTGTGTATACATAGACATACATATATACCACCAAAATATACATGCATACAGGAACACATACATGCATACTTACATTTCTGAATCTGGCCCTGACAACAGATGAGTACCCCATTTGCTAGTACCAGACAGTGTAGGAATGAACATTCCATGAAGTGACGTATACCATAAGCATGTTTATCATAATCTATGTTAGAGTGATAAAATGCATATAAAATGACAGATCTGGCTAGCTTTTATTTATCTACTATCCTACATGAGTTAGTCTGACGAAAAAATTAGTCACTACTGAATGGTTACTTTGTGGGATCATATAGCAGATAACGCGGAAGTACCAAAATTTTTTATAGTAAAACTGCACATAATAATATATAAAAATACAAAAGGAATTTCTTTTACAGAATTACACAGAATAATACCTTACAATGCTTCACGAACATTCCATACTCAACAACCTTACGGGCAATAGGCTGTTGACCTTCAGTTAAACCATACCATTTCACTAATAAATTCCAAGCTTCTTCAGGTAACAGAACATAATCCAGCTCATCAATAAGGTGATCCTTTATTTCTCCACTACCATCATCTGAAAAAGAAGAAGCGAAAAACTAAGATATAAAACCACAAATAACATTAAGAGTGTAATGCATGAACTCTTTAATACACTAAAACACTTTATTTTTATGTATTTTACAGTAAACCTTATTGTATTTTGAAAGGCATTATTAATCAAACATTATTGCGATAGTTATATCTGCAATTATTATTAACATTTCTTTCTTGTGAGTAGGAAATGTAATAACCACACAATGAAATTACTAAATTTATTTTAATCTAGATGCCTAATAACTAAGATTTGTACCCAACCCCAGAAAAGAATATAATTACATGAGCCTTTTCCGTTAAATGTTAACCCTCGTTAGGCAGGAGACATGGGAAGCAGCTTCTTCACAAACCTTGCTAGAATGAAGTCAAATGAAGACTAGCCATCTGCTACCCACTTGGATGGCCAAAATCGCTACCTCTGTGACAACAAAGGCTGCCCTTTCAGGCAATAGGAATAGAGTTTGTGCACTTGATCCCCCCCACAGCCAAAACCATCACAGTACGCTCAGCAAGTACTATGAACAACCTTGGGGGAAGGAACAATAAAACCAATTAAACACTCTCAATGTAAGTTTACCATTCTCTGAAACTTTTTTTGCATTTTTTAAGAGATAAAAAATAAAACTTGGCACAGAGATCAAGAATTCCCAATACCCCCCCCCCAATATCACCTTTAAAAAGAAAGGTTTTCTTTATTGACCATTCACATTTTTCTCTATAATACACAACATAACCATATAATAAATAATTTCATATAAATAACTTGAAGATAAAAATATGAAGTTTTGAAAAAAATGGTTTATTATTTTCAATTTTACAAACATAAACAAATTTTTAAAAACAAAATCATGGCTTCTAACTGCACAACAAAAGTTGAATTTTTAATATGATAGCTGATAAGAAGTGAACTGCACTTTAACCAAATTAATGTCAAATGCTTTCTGGATTACTTGGAAATGCAAGAAAGTGGTCTACTGAATAAAATGATGCCTTATAAGGTAAAATTCTAGATTTTTTTTTTAAAGAGAGGGAAAAGAAAATCTGCCCTTAAAATTTCTAATTGACTATTTTAGGCAAGCTTGAATTCAATGCTACTGTTCAAATTCTTATATACATACTCTTCCTCAATGCATTTACATCTTACGTTCTTTATTTTAATGATGTTATACTTCCATTTATAGCAGGTTCTTTTGTTTCAAATACTGATTTAATTTATCCAAATAAACTAATACATGTTCCAGAAAAAAAAAAAAAAAATGCTTTAAAATACAGGTAATTATCTTTCTTGTATTTTTAGCTGCATTCAGATTAACAATGATTTTGCATTAACTATGGATAATATACCCAACATCAGCCCCTGTTAATCACAAGTCTACCGTATTTTCAAAGACATTCGGTTTAAGGTCCTTTATAATTATAAGAAATGGGAACATAATTGGAGAGTCTAAAGGGATACCCTCTTTTGGTAAGAATACTACTACATATATTGTTATGAAATGTCCAAGCGCTGTAAGATGGCTTTCCCGCAAAGCAGTTTTAGGGTTGCCACATTTGGCGACAAAATTGGCAATATGCCATGGACGAAAGGAAAACCTGTAGCGGCAGCGACAAACAGGCGATACAGACTTAAAAACTCTGGAGAAAGCACCAATTGGCGAAACAGTAAACCTGCTTGACAACCCTGCGGGCTGACCGGAAGAGAAGAATTTTCCCCGGCAGTTCTGGGTAACGACTTCAGTTTGTGAAACAACTTGTCTTGTGCCTTCCACGTGATATGCAACTTTGATCTGGGTTGGGACTGTACACTTCCTTAAGTCATTATTATGCATCTATATTACTTCTCCTTATTTAACCTCATTCTTAATGTTAAATGCCTATCTCAATTGAGATTGCTATTTTTCTAGGTAAGGTTATCTATACTTTTGTAGGCACGCGTTACTCGCGCGTACCTCAAACCTCTTGGAACGAATTCTTATCGGTTTATCCCAGAATGTTCTCAAACACCAGCCAAAAGCTATATATACCCTGCTGGTACGCGGAGAGTTAGTTTGTATCGAGTGTGTGCGCCTAGCAAGCTGATAGAGTGTATGTGCCTCGCATAGAGTGCGAGATAGTTGGTGTCTCATCTAACGAGTCAATCCAGTTGACAGCTGGGCAACGAGTGCATCTCTCTTAGTGTATCATTGAGATAGTGTTGAGCTCCGGGAACGACTAAACCGAAGAGTTGGGAGCCGTGCTCTGTGTGTCATCGAGTGCATCGCAAGTTGTAGCGTGGAGAGTCTCGAGAGTACGTGGAGTTCCAAGAACGACCAAACAGAGTTGAAAGCTGTATTCTGGTGCTTTGCAGTGAAGCTGTCTCCACCGTGATAGCTTGATAATCTGAAAGCTATGTTGCTGATCGTGTCAGCGTGTTTACAAAAGCTTGTTTACAGTTCGATGACTGTAAACGAGATTTTGGAGCTGTCCTGATTAATACCGGCCAATAAAGTGTGTTTTGATACTTCATCCAGTATCGTCGTTATTCACTCCAAATCTACAAACCCTGTACGAATGTGAAAGAAAAAAATAATGTGACAACTGGCGTCAGAAAAAACACGTAACAATATATTATCATATAAAGTTTTAAAGAAAAAAAATCTTAAAAATATTTCTGCACAAAACGCTGCTGAACAATTAATTAATTAAAAACAAAAAGGGTGAATAATTTTGAACCAACTCATTCAATGACTTCAAATGAAATAAATTTAAAATTAGTACTACTTTGAAATGCATATTAAAAGAATATGTTTTTGTAAATAAAATTGAGTTGTTTTAAATCAAAAGTTTTGAAAACAGAAATACATAAAAACGGAAAAGGAATAAAATGAAATTACATAAAAAAATTTTTAATTACAAATTTCAAAACAGTACTAATTTTAAATTTATTTTCTTTTAAGGCCTTTAAACAGACTGGTTCAAAATTATTCACTATTTTTTGTCTTTATATATATACATACACAGGATTTCTAATCCAGTATATATATAAGGTAAATTGATTTCTTTTTTTTTTTTCCCTTTTCCAAATTATTCACTTTTTTTACTACATATTTTGCTATAATAGAAATTTTTTCTAATTAATTTTATTCAGTTTTCTCAATTTAAAAATTTACAGTTTATCCAAATTAATTTCTTAGCACATTTTATACTTAGCTACTACACAAGTCAATATACATCTCAAAATTTTTGTTGCTCTTGTGCTAGATTTTAAGAACTAACATATTTTTTAGATCAAATTCTTATTTATTTTTTTTACATAGGTTAGATTACTACTGTTTTGTATATTTTTGGACATATCGTTTCTAAAGTTTAATCGATGGTAATACAAGGAAATCTACATGCAAAAAATTAATTGCAAAGTTTTTAAATACATTTGTAAAAAGAAATAAAATAAGAAACCAGGTTTTTACAACTTAAAAAACTTAAAACATAATATTCACCAGCTTTTGTCAAGGCATGTCGCTCAACATAGAACAGATTGTAAAATTCTATATGAAAACTATTTAGCAGATGACATAAATGGAAATACACTGTGACCCTAGATGAAGCATGGATTTACCTAAATGACTGCAACAAAAAAGTCTTATCAAAAACAATGAAAAAATGTACAAACCTGGTTCCATCAATACGAAGAAAGTTTCAGTTATGGGTTTATGATCATTGCAGGACTTCCTTACAATGGGGAGTTAATGACTTTCAAAGAGTGAAACTTCATTAAGACAACATAACAAGTCATACTTTAAAAAATACCACAGCATTTCCTTGAGAAGATGAAGACTGATATAGGTACTGCATATGTGCCTTTTCAGCCTGTTTCTGCAAAGTCCTTAGACATTTAATCTATGGACTACTGTGCCTCTAACAGAACTCTTCCTAAATGCAGACCCACAACTGATAAGCCCTGGAAAGTTATGGAACAGGAATGGAAATCAATAGCAATGGGAATCTTACAAAAAGCCCTTCTATCACAGAAATCACGATGCAAACTTTCCAGAAAAAGGTTATCAAACTGATCATTAAAAAAAAAAAAATAAATAAATAAAAAAAAAATAAAAATAAAAAAAAATCAGATTTTATATTACGCTCAAAGGGCTTTTTTTAAAATGTTTTGTGTGTTACCTTTATTTATTAAATATCACATTTTTTGTACTTAAACCATAAAATTCAATTCAACAGCAATATCACAAAGTAATTTTAAAAGAGCACGTCTTTAGAATTTCCGATGCACAGTCATGCGCTGGAGATAAAAATGTTTTTATGTTATTCAAAATTTCAAGGTACTGTTGTTTTACCAGAATGCGAGAAACATACATACATTTATGCAGATTCTTCATTATTTAATTTCTTTAAATATAATACAGGGCAGAAATATTTGCTGGCAAGAGTTTAAAAAGTGATTTGCTGTTTACAGTGAATCAATGCAAAATGCCAAAACAAAATTAATAGTCCTGGTCAAACTGCACCTTTGGACTTTTAAAAAAATAAATAAATAAATAAATAAATAAAATCTTACATTTCAATCATTAATTTAGCGGCCCTCAAAAGTTTTAAAATATGTAAACACTGAATATATATGAAAGATTTTTATTAAGTATTTAGTAATAAGCAGTTCTGAGAATGTTGACATAAACTTGCATACTAATTATTCATGGCATAATTTGAAGAAATAACAATACATCAGTCTCATAAAGTGATATTTTATAAGCAAAAACTTCCATAAAATTAAACAAACCGGCATTAAATGGCAACTGCGCCAATACATTTAGCAAACTCAGACAGCCTTTTCTATAGCGAATATATTAAAGTGACAGGAAAAAGGGAATTACAAAGCAAGCCTTCCATTTTAAAGAAAAGTAAGGCTATTGCAATTTATCTGCAACAATTTCTAAAAATGAAAACAGATATAAATTCTAAGATTTTTGGCTCCCTAAAAGTATTTACATTAACTAATTCATATTTGAGAAGTGATTAAAAATATTTTCACTCAGAATTTCTGAAATATATTACATTCAAATAACACATACCTATACAATATTTCATAAAATATTGGTTCAAAATGCTTACATTAAAAACATGACACATGTAAGACACTTATAATAGTTGTTTTTATAAATGTATATCACTTATAAAAATATATAAGTATATATATAATGAGATGGTCAGTCTATGAGAGATTCGTAAGAAATACAGTTTGTCAGCACTTCTAAGAATGTCATGAGTGCTGCAGTAAGAGTGTATGCTGCAATACATGTTACTCCCCCCCCCAAAAAATTAAACATACAGGAATTTTAGAACTTTTGAGGGAAACAATTTACTTTTCAATTACTAATTTAAATCAAAACTCAAAACAGATTATTTTTTTAATATACCTCTCAGAAGAGGAGAATTATCAATAGGACCAGGATGTGTGGCTCTGTCACCAATATTTGAAGTCTCCCAGCTGTCATAACCAACATACTTTTTCCACTGCTTAAACCATTTGTTGTCAATCAAACACCTAAAATAGTAAACATATGTATCAACACAACACTTCAGAATATTTTTACACAGTTCCACAGACTATGACATCTTTTAACTACATTATATTAGATGCAATAGATTAAAATATACAAGAGGAGTCTAAATTACAGTTCATATTATAATACTTACATAGCTGTTTATTTTTCTTAGCTTTTGCCTCATATGCTATGTCTATTTATACTATAATCTGTCCTCATCTGCTTGAAATACTTCAAAATCACTTGTCAGCTTGTAATGCACCAGTGAATTTTTATTTCTCTGTCATTTATTTCAGATTGCAATCCTGATGCTCTGACTGGTAAGGTGCACAGAGAATTTACATAACAAACATGACACAACATCAGTACGAACATTAGCTAAATGTGCGCCTGGCACATAAAATATTTTCATAAAAAGAAAGTTACTTCATATTAAAAAAATATACATTCAATCACATTTAGGCCCATTAAATTTTTGGTGGAGTTTTCAGAAGTTGGCCTATTGTGAATATTCTTATAAAAAAAACTTCACAACGGGTGAAAATTTTTAGATGCATGCAAATTTCACAAAGTTCTTAAAAAGGGATAGCACTTTTTTTAACAGAATCTGAATGTTTTTATTCAGAAAAATACAGTAAATTCAATATCTAAGTTGATGGCAAATTAAAAAATCTGCTTCCTGGAACCAAAATTGGCTCAATTAAAACTGGCTGAAAAGATAACTTAACATTCTGTTAAACTAATACAGCCACCAGGTATGGGAATAAGTTCTAGTTTTTAGCAAACAGACTAAATTTGGATTTTTTTAACCACGGATTATACAAGTTTTTAAAAATGTGTACCCCACAGAAAAAATGGCAGCTAGTAAAAGGAAACTAATGAAATCAACATTCCTTATCATGTTGCTAAATAAAAGAATATGTATATGTGTGCATTCTGCTCAGGAAGGATTAATGTAACTGCGAAAAAAAGAGGGGGGGACAGTTCGATATCTCCTGTTCTACTGGGCCGATTGACGAAATTCAAACTTGAGTTTTTCTTATCTAGAAAGTGTGACTTAAAATATTTATTAGATTTATATATAGCATTATTTCAACATAGGTATTTTATCAGACTTTTTCTGAAATGACATGCCAATTTTTTTTTTCCATATTTCGATTCTACGACTCAAATTGTGCCAAACTGCCAAGTTTCGTAAAAATCACATAACTGGTTTTTAAAAAATTAGCTCTCAAAGTTTTAGCTCCTCAAGCTGTAAATTGAATTAGTATGTTTTAGCTGTAAATTGAATTGGATATATATTTATTAATATCTCTTTTTTTTAAATTAAATTTACTTGATTCCTTCATCCAGAATTCAAAATTTAGGCTTAATCTAAATATAATTCGTCACTTATTATTTATTTTAAATATTTGTATTTTTAAATATTTTTTATAAATTTTTGTATTATAACCTATCAAATTTTTAACATCCTCTTAAAATAAATGTATTTCTAGGCACACACCTAGAAAAAATAAAGTTTTTTTTAATGAAAATTTTCTAAGATATACATTAAGATATTCAAAATTACATATTGGTGCATTTTAAAATTTGGTATCTGAGCGATAATAATGACAAATGTGGTTTACGCACTTTGTTAAAATTATTTCAAAGTATGAAAGATGACTTTTTTTCCGGCCCGTCTGCAATGCAAAACAGGAAAGGAAAATTAGGTTGCTATAAATTAAGAAATTCAGCAAGTAAATTATTCTTGGCACAAACTAAAAAAAAAAGAACGGCAAGATAAATTTTTGAATTTCTAAAAAATTTCGCACCCAATTTTACAGAACTTAATATTTAGGCACAATTTGAGTCATAGAATCAAAATATGGAAAAAAAAAGGGCATGTGATTTCAGAAAAAGTCCAATTTTGTGTCAAAATACATATGTTAAAATGCTGCTAGATAAAAATCTAACACGAGACATGAAAAAGGAAGTCGAATTTCGTCAATAGGCCCAGTGGAATAAAAGATATAGGACTAACCCCCTTTTTTTTGTGCAGTGTACATGCCAGAAAAAACTGTAAGCTAGTTTTATTTCAGTCTTACATTTCTGATTAGCCAGAGGAATAAGAAATTTCTTATTTGTACTGAAAATTGAAAACAATGAAACTTATCCTTTTCAGAATTTTTTGATGTAAGGGGGCACATTTTTTTCATCACTTTTGAATATAGCCTGAAATTTATTAAGTAATGGTGATGGTAATCTAAGGTGCAAAAGATGAGCCAAGCTTAAGGTTACATGTACACACAATAGATAATAAAAACACATCTAGTATTTTGTTATTCATGACCTTCTGAATGTTTCCAAAGTAGTCTCCAAGAGATTGGTGGCATACATAATCTTCCTAGTTCACTGGTTCTCAAAACTTTAGTAACCCCATGCACCCATTTCATCACTGTTGATCATCCCCCTCTCCCCTTTCTCAAACTTAAAAAAAAAAAAAAAAAAAAAATTATTATCTTTTAATGTGCTTTATTATGAAATTCCCCGGGAGAACTCATGTCCTAGTTCAAGAACTTGAATCCTTAAGATTCCTAACCTCTCATTCAGCATTGAGACTGCTCATACTGCCAGCACAGCACTCAGCTCCTGGTACTCTCACCAAAGTATATTTTTCTACGAGTTTTCACAGTCATCAATAATGAACACTTCCAACCTTCAAACTTTTGCCCCTTATCGTTTGATTTGCCAAACTGCTTATTTTATGACTTTTCATTCGTATTTCTTAATGCTAGTACTTGGATAAGGCTATACCCTGAATCCAAGAAAACCTGGATGATAATTCATCAATGAAGAACTTGAATCCTTTTTAGAAATAGTGTTTAAACACATCTGCAATTGTCTTTGAATGCAACATATGTTTGAACCTCGATAACTGATTTGAAGATCAATATATGAGGAAGTTATTTAAGAACAGAGTTAATTTTCAAATTTAAAAGGCTCACACTCTTGGGACACAACCTCTTCTTGAATAAATTCATTTGCCTACAAAGAGCCATCGGTCTACATTTTGGAAATGTTTTTCTATTAAAATGTTCTGCACAGAGAGACAAATGTCTGCATAATTCACAATCAACAATCATAGAGATCACCATGCATCTCGTATCTTAGTGTTCTTTAATAAGAGGATACTAAATGGTTCCTTTTTCACATAAGCATTTCATACTATATATTGTTTCTTAAGTCGCAATATTATCTGAAGTTGAACTTTCATTTCGGAAGCTACTTTGATATGCTGATAGAAGATCATGTTGGTTAGTAAAAATACATGTTCTTGTTAAGACAACAGACCTGGTGATTTACTGATCACATTTTATATCTGTATTCCAGGCGAATAAATACTGGCTGTGAGCATTAAAATCATCAATAACAAAAGGTTTTGGCAGCTTCTCCACAAGTTCATTCAATTCCTGTTTACTGATATGCACTGTTGGAGATAAACACAAAGAATATATTGAGACTAATATTTTAATATTTATTTCAATTGCTATTGTCTGGAGATATGCACTTAAAGAAAAACAAGAGGCTGAGGAGTTGTTTTAATTTAAAAGTGTTACATTGCAAGTACACACCAATTATATAAATTATAATTCCTGCAGACACTACACATCTGGAGTTCAGCTGGAGTATCTAATTTTACGAGTTTTCTGTGATACAATACACACAGAATTATGAGCATAGATCAGGTTTCTCATGTGGATAAAACTTAAATGGAAGTTGCAGCAGTTACTAGAAATGAGGGTGGCCATCATGTATGCTTATTCTACCAATCCTGCTTCTCATTTAATGCGGTAGCAAAAGTTTGAAATATCTTAAGCCATCTCTGAATCTATATCAGCACATGTGCTCTCAAATGAGCTGCTGCTCAGGCTTCTGGATTTTGTCTACTTCAGTTCAATTTTTTTTCATCTTCTTTGCATTGTTATTCTCCAGATGGTTTGGGTTTTTCCAATCTTGCTTGTCTGTTCAGCTGCTGCTTGGCACTTTGGAGCAGGAAACATGACAAATGTATAATGCCCTTGCCAGAATTCGAATTCTGGACCTTTCATCTGTTTAGATTCACTTCTTGGATGTTCTTTTGGCTTCGCTACAGCTAAAATTATATATTTGTTTATCAAAAAAAAATGACACTTTTAACAATTTGTCTTTTCAGTTACTTATGATCAGGAAGCAATAATTTTCATTGCAACTTAATTCAAGATTTATACAGTTTTTCATGGTGTGTCTTCAAACATGTTTAAATTTTCATGGTTTGCCCGAGTGAGTTTAGAGATCATAACTGAAAGAAATGAAATTATTTTGGACAAGAATAATCCATCCCACACAGACTCCAACAGCACAATATGGATGCTTGTAACAATACTAGGCAAGCCTATGTACTCTTTAAACACCCCTGAAGCAGCTTTCACACCGAGCAAATGATCCGATTACTTAGTTCCAAAACAAAATAGTTTGACAGACCTTAAATTATGTAGACATATTTTGAGATGCATGCATTATTGACATAAATTATAACAAAGGCATTATTATTGTTATTATCATTGTTAATACAGTCAAAAGTCTTTAATCCGGACTCGTCGGGACTTCGGCAGATTCTGGATTATCGGATTTTACGGATTATAGATCATCAATTTAAATCTGGGAAGATGGCATGCCGAAATTATAAAATTAAAAATATGAAACCGTAATTTATGAAACAAAGAGCAATTATAATCTAAAGGGTATCAAAATTTACAAAAAAAGAAGCTTAATATTTATTTATTTACTTTATTAAACATTTCTTTCAACGCGCGCATGCGTACCTTACGCATAGCCGAAATTAGAAAATTGCAACCAGAAAACTATTTGATTTGTATTCGTGATATTTATAATGACGAGGAATTTGATTTAAATCATATCAAAGACGGAGTACATCGAGATTAAAATACTACATTAGTAAGGAATGATAAGGCGAATA